AACATCTGCTAGGGGCTCTACTAGAGAGAAGGTTCTGTGTAGAGTCAAAAAGTTGTTCTTTTGAGGTCTATCGGTATGGGGACAAGACTATGATTGAAATAATTGGTATTCAACAAAGTTTATTGGTATCACCTGAATCAGATGTAGGTAATGTAGGTAGGTACACAAAAAATGCTGAACTTTAACTATACTGAATAGGAAATATGTTAGCGTGAGTTAAGCTTATTCAATATTCGTGACGTTTATGTCCGTTTTGTTATAGGTAACAAAAGCTTCAAATACTATTTTCAGTGTAAGCTTAATGTGGATAGTACCTACTGCCGTCTCAACAATATGTTTTACCGATACATATGTGATACTTGGCACCGATGCAATATGTTCAGCAACATAGTTTGCGTTGTGCCCAAGTATTTCAAGACCGCAAGCTTATACATAATACCAACGAGAGTAGATAAGGCTCGCTCGCCCAAACATACAATACAATTAGATAAGTTTCCAAGAGGTTCATACAATTTGATACTCCAATTAGTGAATCTAGTTTGCTAGGTGGCTTATTTATCAACAAAACATAGCGATTGTATGTGTTTTGCACTAAAAACAAAATTATTCAAAGATAAATAAAGAAAATGGATCGCGTGTTATTTTTACGATGCTACAGTATTACAACATAACAGATATTTCCAAAATAGTATTACAATGTTACAATCGTGCGTGCTACTATACGGTCCTCACCTCTACAATGCGGGCAGTAGCGTGCAATCCTCTCAGCTGTTGCCCCTATCGATCGAATGTTACTCCACAATAATCTGACGTTCCCAGCAGAGTGGGCTCTACGGTCGAAAGCACTTTCCTCTAGCACTGCTAATAGACACTGGCACTGCAATACCACTCCGGCATCAACACCCAATAATAGCACTGATATGCAATCGCCACCTGTTTGTCGGCCGCTCGTAGTACAGTTCGATCACTGAGTTCTCGTATTGTTGATGTTTTTGACAGCGACGGTATTGATGTTAATTTATTTAGCGTAATTATGTGATGCGCACGTTAGGCGCTTGATCGCGAGAGCGCGCGCGTGCGTCCGTTTCGCTGGCGCGAGCTCGACTGACGTAGGTCTAGTTCGGTGGGGCGACGCGGCTGGGGCGGGCGGCGGGCTCCGGCTACGAAGGACTACGGCTCGCATCCGCCCACCGCTACGGGAAAACGAAGCTACGGGTTTTCATCTACGCGATGACTTGCCGTATTGGGAAATTTACAGCGAACGGGTGTACCTTAATTAATTAATAAGCGACGTTCCTTTTGTCTGTGGTAATATTTTATCGACGATGCTGAAATTGAAAGCGTGAAATCCCTATTGATTATTTAATCGATAATAATAATTTACTCAATATCTTTCTCCGAATAATCTTACGGACGGTATATTTTTAGAACTCGGCGAAATAAATTCCTTACTTTTCTGAAGGCTTTTATGTCGTTCATATATTACAAAAATAGAACTTACAACAAATAAGATATCAGCCAGAGAGTAACACAAGTACCGAGAATTAAAGTATTTGTACGCCGTTGTACGTTCACTGGTAGACCGATATGAACACAGCTTTGCGAGAAGATTGATGGGCTGTGGTTGACTCGCGGAACCGTCTTGGCGGGCGCTTTAGCTCAATCGCGTGTCAATTCTGTTCTTTAACACCTTACAAAAGATACTACAATTGAACAGGAATATTTATAATCGAAATCATCAAAAATCTTAGTTATTTTTATAGATTGGTCAAATTCGCAGTTCCGCAGGACTCGTCTTGTAACGTCAAATGATGATAAAAATGTAAATAGTAGACTTCGGTATAAGTTAAAATGTAAGTTGAATTAAATCTTCAAGCTTGATTGCTTTCATTAAAATATAACAGTTACTTATTATACTAATCCTATACAGGCCAAAGATATCATATTAGGATTAGTTTCCAAATGTGGGAGATGGAGATTAAGCTTGTCTGGTGGACTTGAAATCCACTTAGGTATTGATTAGGAGCGCACAATGTCTCGTAAATGAATTAACGCTTGTTATATCTGAATGTTAATAACATAATGACTAAAGAAAATCCGATAATCTATATTTATAAAAGTGAAAGGTCACTGATTGACTAACTCACTCACTCATCACGAAATCTCAGAAACTACAAGTGCTAGGAGTCTCAAATTTTGCATGGAACCTTTTAGAACGTAGATGCTCACTAAGACGGGATTTTGCAAAATTCAACCCCTAAGGGGGTAAAACGGGATCCACGCGTACGAAGTCGCGGGCGACCGCTAGTAATCCTTAAAATTATCGAAGTATTGTTCAACAGACGTATGAGAGAAATGAGTTTTCAAGAATACTTATAAACTTATTCGGAGTTTAACAAACGGTTGGAGCTTCAGCCACCGGTTTAGAACTTCGCGAGTTGATAATATTCTTCGACCCATATTGTGCAACCGCGGTACAATATGAACTCCGTGAAACTTTTATTTCGATTATGTTACTAACAAGCGGATTGGGTGCGTGACAGTTTATATAAGTTTATATGATATAAATTCATTTCAATAACGTTCATATTGTATAATAAACGTATGTTATAATAACACTTGATATAATTTTTTAACATATAATGTTTACTTCATATAATAAATCATTTCTAATAATATCATTTCAGATACCAATCACAACGCATAAAGACATTTGATATAAACCTTACTTAATCTAAGACTCATTTGATGTAATTTTGTTTAATATAAATATTATTTCACATAACCATTACTTGTAATAAATATTATTTGTTATACTCTTTAATTGATATAATTTCTGATAGATATAACTTTAAGTATGTTCTTCTTTAGCTTGACTTATAAATGACTTTAGTGACAAAAACGAATCGCCGTAAAACCGACTCCACGTAGTCTTGTCTGCCCTACCCCTAGAGTGTAATTTAGAAGCGCGTAGGCACGGAGGGGCGAGGCGGCCCGCGGGCTGAGGAGCAGGTGGCTGGAAGCGAGGCGCCGCGGCTGAGGCTGGCCGGCGAAGCCGGCCAGCAAGCCGAAGACGCGGTGTCGAGCGAAAGCCATCTGCGACGATTAGCACGCGAGGGACCGCCAGAGCCCCGCAGTGCCGGAGCCGTGACAGAAGTCTCAAGTTTTTAGTCAAATTTGCATGCTGCATGCCTGCATGCCTGCTTGCTTGCTTGCTTGCCTGCTTGCCTGCTTGCTTGCTTGCCTGCTTGCTTGCTTGCTTGCCTGCTTGCTTGCTTGCTTGCCTGCTTGCTTGCCTGCTTGCTAGCTTACTTGCATGCTTGCTTGCCTGCATGCTAGCTTGCTTGCTTGCTTGCCTGCATGCTAGCTTGCTTGCTAGCTTGCTTGCTTGCTCGCTGGCTTGCTTGCTTGCTGCATGCAATGCTTATTATAACAAATGAACTTTATATAAAATTAGTTATATGATTTAAGTTTTATAGGAAAATAATTTTATTTCATTTGATTGTTCGACATTTTATTTTTATATGATTTGAATGTTATTTGTTTTAAATAGTATACATTGTAAGTTTTATAGAAAATATTCATTATATCAAACCATTTTATATCAGTTAATAGTTATTTGTCTTAAAATTATTCGTTTTAAAATTATATTATTCGTTTATTATAGTAAATAATTATTATATTAAACGATTTTATATAATTTGATGTTATATCCTCTAAGTATTATATGATATGTAGTTATATCATACATTACACACCCAAGCGGATTACGTGGTACAATTTAAAAATACACTACCAAATACTCGTTACACAATTTGCCAAGCACAGCATAGGTTTTCAGAATATTTGCAGACCTCTAACTTGTAGAATACTCATAGTTAATTTTAAAGTATTTTTAGATAGCTACTATCTGTAGATTAGTTTTAGTAAATAGGGATTTAATTCTACGTCTTAAAATTATTGACTGTAAAATAATTTTCTCCGTATTATGGTTATAATAAATAATATTTACTATTTAATCATTTTCAATTCGCGCAATCACGATCTAATGTTGTAAACACGCGGTTGATGAAAAACGCTACCAAATTAGAAAAGATTCCATCAAGGGAGCTTATTTTCAGCTTTCTACAAAAGTCGACTAAATATGCTACATTTCTTTTCTCTACATTGGAAAAATACCAGTAATTTTCCGATGTTATTTTCTATTTGGCTAAAATTAGACTTCATAGAATACAGTCATCCCTTGTCATTTTTCATTTGTCCAAGATAAGTCGAGGATGTGAGCTAAATAACTAGTTTTAGGAAAATTTATTTATAGAAACGTCGACAACGCAATAAATATTATATTGTAGGTAAAAGGACAAATATTACAATACCAAGAAATTGCTTTCATAAGAATAAAGCTATAATCCAAATTAAAAGCTACATTAAGATAATAAATTATATCTATCTCACTAAAAGAAAGTTAATTCATTTATTTATTTATTTAAACTTTAATGCCAAAATAAATTTTTACATAAGGCGAACTTAATGCACTAAAGCATTCTCGACCAGTTTACCTTTGGGTTGAGCAGAAAAGAAATTTGTTTGGCGGTACTTCTAGTGCAGGAAAGAAAAACAAAAAACAAATAATGCTATTTCATTAACTTACTTTAAATTTTAGTGAGTGATAAGGTCGCGATAAAAGGAACTTTTTGATGGTAACTTTGCAATTAATTACAGTATTTCAGTGCTCTATCATAGCTTTAGGCAGAAAGTTTGTTGAGTCAGATCTCTAGCTCTATTTTTCTTTGGTCATGTGACCCGTCATGTTTTCGGAGAAAAAAGTAGAGCCGTTGCCAAACTACTAGCAATATTGATGGATGATGAGTGATGACATAAAAGCGATCCTAACTCGATTCCGTCGGTTTAAAACAAAATGTGTGGTTTGTCGACAGCACATCAGATTATACATTTTTATTGCAAAATAGCACCTATTACAAATCCATAAGATGACTTACCTTTAGCAGAGTGAGTATCTTCTGCGACAGTTCATAGTCGAAGTTAGTGTACTTGGAGTCGGTCATGTCGTATATGAAGACTAGACCGGCGCGCTGGGTCTCTATCGACGTCAACGCCACATCTAATTGGTAGACGACACCCTGTTGAAAAGAAAAATATTCATTGACAAAAAGAAAAATGTGTGACACTTTACATTTGACTTCTTTCATGTAGCCTATACGCACCACGTTGGGCGCCATATTTAGCCCGTCACGTGTCCGTTAAATATGGCGCCCAACGTGGTGCTATCGACGTTTTCAAACTGTATTTAGCACTAGCGGCCGCCCGCGACTTCGTACGCGTGGATCCCGTTTTAACCCTTCATCTATCTTACGCGGTTTAGATTTTTTCATACAAATGTTTTTTCCCGCTAACTCCCGTTCCCGTTGAAATTTCGCAATATCCTGTTGTAACTAAGCTTTAAGTTTACTAAGGGACCTGCATGCCAAATTTTAAGCGTCTAACTTAAGCGGTTTAGATTTTTCATACAAAAGGATTTTCCCGGTAATTCCTGTTCCTGTGGGAATTTCGGGAATTCCTTTCTTAGTGCACCTCTACGGTACCTAAGCTACGTCCCTTATAAATTTAAAGTGCCTACGTTTAGCCGTTTAGGCTGTGCGTGGGTATGTCAGTGAGTCAGTCATACAAAAGGAATTTCCCGCTAATTCCAGTTCCCGTGGGAATTTTGCAATATCCTGTTGTAACTAAGCTTTAAGTTTACTAAGGTACCTGCATGCCAAATTTTAAGCGTCTAACTTACGCGGTTTAGATTTTTTCATACAAATGTTTGTGGATTATGAGAAAGCCTTCGATTCGGTCGAGACCTGGGCAGTGCTACAGTCTCTCCAAAGGTGCCAAATTGACTATCGTTATATCGAAGTGTTAAAAAGTTTATACAAAAACGCCACAATGTCAGTCCGCCTCCAGGATCGGGACTCGAAACCTATCCAGTTGCAGCGAGGGGTAAGACAGGGAGACGTCATATCTCCAAAACTGTTTACCACCGCCCTGGAAGATGTCTTCAAGCTCTTGGACTGGAGCGGATTTGGCATAAATATTAACGGTGAGTACATCACCCACCTTCGATTCGCGGACGATATCGTAGTCATGGCTGAAACCTTGGAAGATCTAGGCACAATGCTCGATGGCCTCAGTAGAGCCTCTCAACAAGTGGGTCTCAAAATGAACATGGACAAGACAAAAATCATGTCTAATAACCGTGTCGCACCCACTCCTTTGAAGGTTGGAGACTCTACACTCGAAGCTGTTGACAATTATGTATACCTGGGACAAACAGTCCAGTTAGGTAGGGCCAACTTCGAGAAAGAGGTCAATCGTCGAATCCAACTCGGCTGGGCAGCGTTCGGGAAGCTACGCAATATACTCACGTCCGAAATACCGCAGTGTCTCAAGACAAAAGTCTTCGAGCAGTGTGTGCTGCCAGTGTTGATTTATGGATCCGAAACGTGGACGCTTACTATGGGCCTCATAAGAAGGCTCAAGGTCACCCAAAGGGCGATGGAGCGGGCCATGCTTGGAGTTTCCCTGCGTGATCGAATCAGAAATGAGGAGATCCGCAGAAGAACCAAAGTGACCGACATAGCTCGCAGAATTGCTAAAACCAAGTGGCAGTGGGCGGGGCACATAGCTCGTAGAGACGATGGCCGTTGGGGCAGAAAAGTTCTCGAGTGGCGACCACGGGCTGGAAGACGTAGCGTGGGCAGGCCTCCTACTAGGTGGACCGACGATCTCGTAAAGGTCGCGGGAAGAGCCTGGATGCGGGCAGCGCAGGACCGTGCATTGTGGAAAGCCTTGGAGGAGGCCTTTGTCCAGCAGTGGACGTCATTTGGCTGAAACGAACGAACGAACGAAGTCAGAAAATTGATATCTTCATTTTAATTATTTTAATTTTCATACAAATCGGATTTTATAAAATTGATTATACTTTTAATATAAAAATAATAACTTTATTGTTTTAGTTAGACTATGCTCAGTGTTAAGTATGCTCAAATAGTTTTGTTCCCCGTCTAAGCAAACTTTTCAAATGTCACGGAGCACAGTGATATTCCATAAATCTCATAACATTTTGTAAGCTCTTGCAAGAAGTCACGAGAAGTCGATAAATCTGCCATTTTAAATTTTGAAAAGGGCTTTTACCTTAGGGACAACCTATGGACTGGTGCTGGCGGAAGAAACTAAGTCACCTTTGTCAATAATCCAACTGTAAATAGTTACATAACTACAAAAATGTCCTCTGACATTGATTTGCCCCATGTCCCATTATTCCTTCAAACCCCTAACAAATTATGACAAATGCAAGTCAAATCAAGCAAGTCAGAGGTGGAAACGCATTACAGTAATCACCGGTAATGGTCACCCCTGTAATGAATCCGGGAACATGGGCCAACATGGCGACTACCCGGCGAATTGAATGTGGAGGCATTTACTAGGGTTAGGCGAGTCGCATACGATACCGAATAGCGAACTAGTGATTAGAGAATTGGATATAATTTGTAGGCCTAGGATACGCGCCGCGATAAGCTTTTATCCTTTTATCGATTTTACGCGATAAGTCCATACATTTGTCGTCTAAATCATCGATAAGTTTTTATCACAGCGCGCATCCTAGCCCGGCAGGAGGGCCAATGTTTGTGTTGAAAAGAGACTTAATAATATACTGACAAATGGAAAATTAGTTTTTTACCCACAAAGTAGAAGCCCTTGACCATCTTATAGACGCGATGGAAAGTGATACACAGATAAATTCACAAAGGAACTGCCATCCACAACATGTTCTTAAAATTATTGTTATGGCGACAAGCTTAAGTAGATGACGGTAGCTGGCCAGGTAGACTTACAACAAGCAACAAGCAGAAAATTTTGACCACTTTGGAAATCGAATCCAGGACCTCTGGGTCTGATCTTTAATGGTGGTGAAATGTTGTGTTTACATTCTAATTTAATTACATACAGAAAAGACTAAAATTGTCAAATAATTCATTAAATTATGTTTATGTATTTTATGTGTTACTACGACTCGTCTCCTGCTACCCTTAGGCTTGTTGTTTCAGTATTATAAATTCCAGTTCATTGCAAAACAGCCTCTATACCAACGACATAAAGTGCTCACCGTCTACATTTACTTATACAAATCTAAGCCCATCATTACAGTAGTGGAAATCAATTCCAGGAGCTACGAGTAACCTTAATAGAATTGAAATGCGCATAATTTGCTTTGTATCCAGCTACTACGAAACTCTACTATTTCAATATAGCTACAGTATCAAATATTTACGCTATATGATTTCAATATTAGTAACTTTCAACATAACATTCGTTCGTTTCAGCCAAATGACGTTACGTTTTGGTAAGTTCACCGACGGTCTTATTCAAACTCTTGTTACTTTCTTGCTTTATCCACGAAACATCCCTATTCTTCGAAATTATTACGATCTACAAACGGAAAATCTCTGCTACTACGCCGCAGTAAATTCCCCATCATAAATAAAAAGATTTTTTTTAAAACAAGCTTATAAGAGGATTTTAGTTTTTATCTGCGAAACTTTTTAATAGTAGGTACGTTTCATGGTTTGGTAATTTAGGGAAGTTTATTTGCACTTAACATGAAAAATATGGTATCAATGTACTGAGTACATGCACCTTCAGTGGCAACAACAAGGTCTACTGGGTACCTATAGTCTACTAAAGGCATGAAATAGATTAATTTCACTAAAAATTAAAACCAACTCCAAAACGAACAATAGGTCGAAGGACAAATGGACGAAAACTAATCTACAGGAATAGCTAATTTTGGTTTTCGTCCACCCCAGTGCTTGCTCATGACGTCATGGACGAAAACACAACAACGTTTAAAGCTGTTTTTTGTTTTCGTCCACATCTTTTTAACGGTTTTTATGGGTTTATCACTGTTAAAAAGTGGACGTAAACTAAAATGTTTAATTTAATAGCAATAAAGATCATATTGGAAGAAAAAACATTGTATTTTGTAGGTCCATTGAAGTAAAATGATTATTAAAAATATTAACTAGATGTCAGGGTTTCCGTCCACGTGGACGAAAACCAAAATCTTGCAAAATTGTTATGCTAGTATTAGTCCACTTAATTATCTAAGATTTCTATACAAAAACTTTAATAAACCCTTAAAATAGTGTTTATTATGCTAATAATTAGACATACGTGCCAAAAACATTACGTAAAGTAGCTAAAACAGTAATTAAACATACCATGAAAGTTCCCTACCGGCACGTTTTTTTTCTAACTTGACGACGTTTTCCATTCACCTGTGTGCAGCAGCAACTTCCGTAGATTTTTTTGGAGTTATTACTTGTCAAATTACATTTTCATGCAGGCAGAACTGTTATTTAGGTATTATAGATTGTAACAAGTCCAAACTTGCATGGAAAGTTAGGTTTGTATTCTAATTTTCCGTATTTGTTTGTGGCAAGTCGGTCAAATGGACGAAAACAGGAGCTGGACGGAAAACCGGCGCAATTACCCTACATATTATTATAGGCCATTTAGGTATCGAGAAAGGCTACATCCAATATGAGAAAAGCATCAAAGAAAATTTTTCAAAAATGGGAAATTATTCAAACGATTTTCACGCGTACGAAGTCGCGGGCACAGCTAGTTGTTGAAATAAAAGCACTTGTAATCCGCAAGTGGGCGTGCAGTCGACTCGTTCGAAGATTGACTGATGAGGGGAATGAGGGGTCGATTCCATTACACAGCTATCGCTTTCGCATTGAATCTCGCAAAAACAAATCAATGGATAATTGATGATGTGATTTTATTGGATAGCAATTAATTGCCCCATTATTTCGAGATAAAAAGTTAGGACTACTTTAACGTCTGATGATAAAATATCCATATGATACCCATAGCACCAGTAAGTAAAATTGGACAACTTTCCGTTTTAGGATCTGTAATTCTGTACGGAATAAAATTGGTGCACGCTAGTTTTCGGCAAGTGGTATCCTACATAACTGAAGTTTTATAACTCTAATAATTATAAACTCTTTCGTGGACTTACGATCTCAACAATCCCGACCATTGCAATTGATTTCTGTGCAGATAAGGATCTACTCCTTATCAAATTAATTGCAATATTAATTCATATCGAATGATATCGATCTATGTCCGCAAGGGCTTCCGGCTGCGAGCTCTAGTTTCGCTCTATGACGCGACGGTGTCAGCCTGTCATTGCGTGCGCCGAGATAAATAAATCAGAACCGAACGACGCAGGACGACCGATATTATGCATGTATGAAGTTTTACATGCGCGGGGCTCACCCATGGCCTAACTAAATGATAAATTATTCCATAACTTGGCCCAATCTACGCAAGACAAGAGAGGGAATTAAATTGCACTGCAAGCGTTGCCTTCAGAGACGCGTTTGTAAATGTGCCCATTTTCGTTTATAGGATACTTTTTTCGTTCCGCGCCGTATAATTTGATTTACCTATGTTTTGCTTTGTGTATTTTGCACAGATTACTGAAATGAAATATTGTACGCAACATTTACAGACGGTCGGTCATGCGATGTAACATAAAATAAAATTTAACTTTATTGTAATTGCGAAATTCTGTGTCAAGAATACTGTTTTATCTATGTATTTACTAGGAAAGTAGTAAGTAAAGATAATGTATTCGGATACAAAACTTTTGAAACAATGACCTAACAAACAGCCTAAAAATTTGACCTCACAATAACTCCATTAGCCAAGTCGTTTCTAGCCAAAACATGACATGTCAAAGTGTGTTAATGGAGTATAAAATGAAAACAAACGGGTATTACCTGCAATGTCGTCTGATGAGTGGTAAGGGACGGGAAGTGCTTGTTGGCCGTGAACACCGCAATGGCGGCACCGGTCGCGTCCCGCGTCGGCTGCGGACACAACCGTAATCGTGAACATTGTGGCAACATTAAATTAAGCCCGCTTTCCACCACAGTGAAGAGGAGATCTTGTAGGCGGCTTTTAGAATCGCACTGACCGCTCGCTGATCGTCGGCGCTGACATATCAATATGTATGTAATTGAAGGGAACGTTCCTGGGTGACGCTGATCGCTCGGCGCCGACGCTTCATACATGTTGGCTGTCAGCGCTGACGGTCAGCGTGCGTCAGCGTTGACTCTAAAACCAGCCTTAGTTAACCAGTCAGATTTAGTTATTTTCACCACACATCTCCGATCAGCTTCGGTTCGAAAATCTGATTGGTTTTCTTTGGTGCAGATCGCGCCTCATGTAATCCCAAACATAAAAAGCGTACAGAAGAACAAATTGCACCTAAGTTAATGTTTTACGCGATAATTATTATAAACAGCCAGCTACTTTAAAGTATGAAAGGACCGTTGCGGTTGATAACAGGTAAAAAGTAAAATGCCCATTGATCTCATCTCGGTAATGTGGTTATTCATCTGCGTAATCATCATTAATTTATGTAATTTGGCAATCACTATCGATATTATCAAGTTCAATGTCTTTCATGTTCAAAGCCTACATGGCATACAGATACAGTACTTACGAGATACTGTACAATCACAAACGATATCTAGTCCAGTGTGTGTAGTTGTCTAAGACTTAATAATTAGGTAGGAATATACATAACTAGCTTTCCGCCCGCGGCTTCGCCCGCGTGGAATTTTGTCTGTCACAGAAAAACTTTATCGCGCGCGTCCCTGTTTCAAAAACCGGGATAAAAACTATCCTATGTTCTTTCCCGGGACTCAAACTATCTCTATGCCAAATTTCATCAAAATCGGTTGCGAGGTTTAAGCGGGAAAGCGTAACAGACAGACAGACAGACAGACAGACAGACAGACAGACAGACAGACAGAGTTACTTTCGCATTTATAATATTAGTTGGGATTCATCAAAATTTGACGTAAGGCTACTCTCCAGAGAATTCTACGCTATTTCNCTATCCTATGTTCTTTCCCGGGACTCAAACTATCTCTATGCCAAATTTCATCAAAATCGGTTGCGAGGTTTAAGCGGGAAAGCGTAACAGACAGACAGACAGACAGACAGACAGACAGACAGACAGACAGACAGAGTTACTTTCGCATTTATAATATTAGTTGGGATTCATCAAAATTTGACGTAAGGCTACTCTCCAGAGAATTCTACGCTATTTCATTCACCTTCATATTTGTTCAAACACGGAAAATTTGAAAGACGTGATGTCGTTCTTTTCCTGGCGCTCATCAATATAGTAAATTTTCCGGTCTCAAACTCTGCTCTCAAAGACTTCAGCAGCTCTTCGAAGGGCTCGAACTTTTTGTTATTGTATACAAGTTCGTATTTGTTCAACATACCGCCCCATTGAAATAGCATATCCTGATCAAAACTCACCAAAATAGTAAATTTTCCAGTCTCAAGCTCGGACTTCAGCGGCTCTTCGAAGGGCTCGAACTTGTTGAGCCCTTCCCGCCGGCGAGTCGCCTCGTGCTGTCGCCAGAGCGTGTGCGCGCGCAGCACGTCAAACTTGCGCGCGAACAAGAACTTGATAGCAGTCGCGCGCGACACGCATGTCGCGCCCGACTCGCTCAGCGCGTCCAGAAATGCCTTTGTAGCCTGCAAGTGACAGAATGTGTTTCATTAGATATGTATGACGTTCATATTTGTACAAACGACAGCACATCCTGGCTGAATTTGTCTTAACAAGTAGCAAAATCTGACAGATGTATTTCGAAACTGCTTTACGGAGAAAAGGAACGCCATCGAGAGCGTAAGGTTTTGGAAATTACAACTTTCATGTTTTGCGCCTTGTCTAGGGGGGTAGCTAACTTTACAACGATAATGTATAGTCTGATGTGCTGTCATCTATACCGTTAAATTAAATGAGACAGACAGATTCCAAGAGATTCTTGACATTGTATCTGAGTGTTTAAACTTGATGTGCCGTCGTCTGCGCTTATCTTTCTTTCATACAGGAAATACATAATGGATAGTGAAAATGGTCAACTTGAATGACGAAGGCTTTCTTGTGAAGAGATTATTCGATTACCTATGTAGGTACGACGCAATATTATTACACACTTCAGTGACCCTCAATTCCATGATTCAATTAGTTCGACAAGTAGCTCGGATAACCATGTAATTGTCATAATAATTGAGTCACTGGTCTTGCCATATTATTCATCTTATTGTTGTTCATAAAATTCAGATATAAGAAATACAGTTAATGCAAAATATACCCTTAGAAGCCGGAGCCAATTCCGCATGAACGCTCTCTCCATGTTGAGAAGGAAATCCTCGTCCATGAATTCCATGATTGGTCAATTATTATGCACAGCTTAATTTATACTAGATGGTTGATTTCACTGTTTCGTCACACTTTCATCGCGACAGTTAAACTTCAAGCAAGACGGACTGGACGGCGACCGAGGTACCGAACGGAATCCTCAATGACTAGCTATTTGACAGAGTTCACACCGTAACGCCCTGGTAAACATTGAACTGTGACCAAGAAAACCGCATTAGCAAGGTGTTGCGAGTGCAATACCGGTGCTAACTGGATACGGATAATTTGTCAAGTGGGTGCATATGTATTTGGATGCAAATAAGCAGGCGGGAGACGGTGGGTTAATTCTTCCGGGATGTATATCCTGTGCGGCCGCGGGGTTTTATTATGAGCGGGCACGCGCCTGGGAGCCCCGCCTTACGTCACCACACACACACGTGCTGCATCACAATCACGCAATATCAACAGTAACTATACAACACCACGCTAACAACTCTAGTTTTAACTCCTAAAACAAACGTTCCAATTTTAATTAATAAACGCTCTAAAAGGATGTTGCATTCAAGTAATCCCTGGCACACTGAGGATACACAAAGGAAAATATAATTTTAATTGAATGGTTTATTTATGTAACGTGATAAGAGCTTGTTATGTGGATTGGGATAGGAGGGAAGGAAGAAGACAATACATAATTTGTCTGAAGCTTACCACAATTAGAATTATTAAATTACATACTATGAGTAAAACCCAATCCCAGGCTACAAGGCACATTAATAAAAGATGACTGTTATTATAATAATAGGGTTTATTTATAATAACAGTCATCTTTTATTAACACAAATTAAAATGTAAGATGTTAAGACGCAGATTTATCATCACAGAACACTTTCAAATTTGTATGATATTCATAAATCGATCGATATTGTTCACTTACAAACACTGGCTTCATAATCACCTTGAACATTGTGCAATGAAGTGAAGACGGTAGGTATTGAAAATTAATTAACAATAACAAACGCTACTATGTTTTAGATCCACAACGAATGAAAATTTGTATTAATCCAACCAACAGCTACAAGGAATATTATAAGTTCGACAAACCTATACCAATTACTATAAATGCCCTCAAATAACAATAAGCATAGTCAGAAGAAGTAATAAGATAATTTTAAATAATCAACAATTCAACATACGCCTCAGGGTCTAATAATAAACATGTCAAGAGTAACAAGACTCAAACTCTACATCCATATAAGGATCACGAGACGACACAATGCAAGAACAATAACCGCACTGTACACGGTAAACAAATAATAGATTTAGAAAGCACTGATCATTAGAAATCGTCAAATACAAATAACGAGTTGAAATACTATAAACAAACAAGAGATCTTGTAGTTTGGTTCACAGTGCACGCACGATCGCACCACCGGGGCTCTCGCTTGCAACTGTCAAACGAACGAAAGCTGTATTGTTTAACCACAGGTCATTTATAATGACGTCAATGCAAAACAAGTGTCACAATCCCATGAATTAAGCATTGAATTATACAAATCGAATGAGGAATAATGCATACCAGATTGTTCTCGGAATGGACACCAAATCTTACCACAAATCTACCTACATCTTTACACAATTATCCTTTTGGTCATTAAAAAAAAAGATTAAATTACGTTTTACGTTGGAAACGAAATTAACGAGATAGAAAATAATTACGACACTTATTTTTATTATGATTTGTTTGCTATGTTTATAGTTCAGCATTTAGTCCTTCAAATAATGAGACCTTTTGCGAAGTGCTTCAAAATGCGTCATACGATACGCCCACCAGTCTACCATCCTACGTGAGAGGCTGGGATTGAGGAATACCTATTGAATTTACGTAATATGGCCACAATATTAATATACGCTTAATAATTCAGCAGCGGTATAAAAACTTTCTAGCAAACCAATAATAACAAACGAATTTCTGGTTAGTTATGATTTAGGAAATCTAATGAACGCAAACGCGTCATGAAGAATTGAGTTTCAAAGAAACAATGCCAGTGTTTATATTCAGCTTATTAAACAGAAAATAGAGATCTGTAATACAGAACAATAACTTCAGAAACTACTTTTCCAACGTGTTTTTCAACGTCATGGAAATTACGATAGATCTTCCCTAATAAACGAAGGTGCTTTTAAGGAGCTTTACTCCTGTATGTCACAAAAAGCATGTTGTAAGATATGTTTATGAAACGGGTATGAAACAACATTATCTTGTACATTGTAGTTCCAATTCAGTAAATTTTTAACAAAAGACGAAAGTGGAGAATAGTTTCCTAAATAAAAGAGATCCATTTCCGTGGACTAAAACCAACGTCATGGTCTCGCAAACACATTGTCGCCGATTGTCAACAAGCGTGTAACCTGGCACAATTTGCCAACGAAAACCAACACCTATCCAATTTACAGAACAAACGAGTTCTTAGGATTGTCTAGCACTTGATAGCGTCTAACGAGACCATAATAGATTACGTACAACATAATATCTTAGACAGTACAGTTGAATTTCAAATTACCTAGCCCTAGCTTAATTTTAATTAGGAGATTACATACTCTAATTAATAAATGAAATGAGAAGTGGTAGTACCAAATGATCATGCGCTATTTAGAATTTTTAAGATTACTGGAATTGCGCTTGAAGATAAGGATTGATACGCAATATGCACTGCAGATCTTACAAGATAACATTATTTATTTTTTGCTTTAATAGCTCAACAGGTTTGGTAAAGGTTGCAAAATTTGATATTGTGTTCTTTGCTATCTCAGTACGTTATGCAGTGATAAATAACACGGAGCCAAATACATTATTCTGCTTAATTTGATTTAAAAAACCGCTTTAATTAAACTTAAGGCAGCCCACCCAATTTTTCAATTTCCCTGTCCTGTATTTGCAAATCTCCTTCAGTTAATCAGATATAAGCGGTTGAAGCTTTATTTTTATCGAGTCCCTGCCGTTATTGCTTCAAATCCTATCAAGCCAGAATCGAATTAAATTGCAGCGAGGGCACTCAGCCACGACGAGCGACCAGCGCGTCCGGCCTACGCCTCTCTCCGTCACTCACTCTTAATATTGCTGATTTATTACGCAGATTTCCGTTCCCACGTGATTCTTCACTTAAAATCAACAAGGAAAACTTTATTAACGAATTGTAAAAGAACAACCAAATCCACCTTTCGTTAACAGCCGAAATGTTTAAAGAACGCAGTAAAATGTCAAGACCGTGGTTAAGACATTTTTAAACTCTTTTTGAAAAGTCTATTAGTTCTAGGTTCATGGGCTTCACGGCTATGTAATTTAATGACATAATGAAGTTCTTCTCATCTTCTTTTAAAATCGTGTGTAGGAACAACACGAGAAAATTGCTATTCGTGTAACTACTCGTCACTAGAAAAATCAACATTACTGAAAGGGTTGCGAGAGTTCAATTGCGGTTTACGTTGTATTGACAAACAAATTGTGTACCTACGTACTTTCAGGGCCTATTATTAGGTCTTTCCAACGGAAGCATACGGATTGAACGCGTACGTCAGAAGCGGTGCCGCGCGGCTAAATATACTACTCGCAAGTAAACAATCGCTCTCCAATGCCTTCATGATGATGACCGATTCTGTTCCTTGTGATAAGGAGTCTGATCTGATACCAGTGGCAATGAATATTAATAGTGAAAATGTATTGGGTTTTGTTTTGTTGTTGTTGTTATCTACCTCCATGGCTTTTGCCTTCCCAATTTAGGCTATTACCGATATGTGTAACGTGTGTATGTTAATGATACCTATTTCAGACCGGACGTCTCTAACATCGTTATATCTGTTGCTCGTTAACAGAACTTTTTTCTGTGATGTAGAGGCAAAACAGTTAAAATAGCACATTTTTGTACTAGATAAGGGATAAGGGTAACTAGAGCAATTAAAATCTAACTGCCGAAGTGTAGCAATATTGACTTCTCAGCATCTTTCACCCTAGTTTTAGAGCATGTCATCACTTTCTGAAGGTGTTAACTGTCAGTAAAATTTTGGGATTCGCTATGCTCAGTGAATTAGCCGCTTTCGCAAACTGATTGCTGTTATCCAAATATACTGTCTTTAGGTTGGCTACCACCAAAATCTAAAACCTCTGAAATAAGAATGAGGAGTTGACTAGTCCATATAAATTCTGTTAGTTTGAGATCCTTGGAGTTCCTCTTATATTTCCATAAATTGAGGTAACCTATCGGCGCGCACTCGCACAGGCATAAATAAAAAAGTAAATAAAAAAAATCGTTTTGAGGGTAATTTGTGGAGCAGGGTCATTTAAGGTTGACATGTCAACCACAATTTGACGAGGGTTACTGGAAGTTGGCACATTTCTATAGCCTTGAATATTTTTTCAAACAAAATCAAGTCCATAGCAATAAATAATTGACAGCACATCACACTGAACAGTGTTGTTGCAAAATAAAAAAAAGGACCTATGATAAATACATAATATGCCACATTGTTAGCTTGATGTGATTTCTTATCAATCATTATGTGAATGATTTTTCAATAAATCATCTCAATCTCTGCCTGCTCACAGAAACTAGCATCAGTGTACCCAATTTAAACCAGCCAAAATCTGTTCTCAAGGAACAGGTTAGCTGTTACTAACACCATGGACCTCTCCATAGATTGAATAAAACCTGCCCCTAATGGCTTATCACATTAAATTAAATTGTTCATCATGAAAGATGAAAGTTTTATCGAATTAATGAATAATTTGATAGCCACGAATAATATACAGCATGGTTAATAGTCTTTATACCACTTTGTGATTGAGAAAATGTAACCTTGAAAATAGTTGTTTGATTAGATACTTTCATACGAGGGCGGCACTGAAAATTTCGGGAATCAAGGAAGTGAAACAACATTACTATTTAAAAATGTATTTATTGCTTTTTAAAGTATTCTCCGCGAAATTTGACACATTTTTCCATACACGAAACCAATCATTGAAGCAACCATTGCATTCGGAAGTTTGGGTCTCCAAAATGGCCGTTTTGTAGGCTTCCACAGCTTCTTCAGGTGATGAAAATCTCTGACCACGCAATTTATTCTTTATTTTAGGGAAAGTATAGAAATCATTAGGGCTTAGGTCGGGGCTG